TCTGATTTCAAATTAATTTTGCACCAAATGGGCAATACAAGTCCGAATTTAAAAGATACAAATGCTTCGGCATATTTAGTCCTTTCAACTTTAAATTATAATTATAATCATAGCGTGTACGATTGAATTCTCACATAAAAACTTTTAATTTTTATGTGGAGCTCTACTAAATTAGCAAAGTGGTGTAGGGTATCATAAAGTCGTCCCCGCCCGACTTTAGGACATTCTTTACTGGTTTTATCTCGCCCTGTATATCATTTGATACGTCCAAAACGTGCCTCATCGTAATAACGATTTTAGACCCTAGGTCTCTTTGGATCAAATCCGTTTCTGTCTGCGAAACAAGTTAACGATTCTTCTCATACTTGGTATGTGTTAATATTTTTCTCAGCCAGAGATCTGATGTGAATAGAATGGAATTCATCGGAATCGCCAACAAAAGTTCAACATTTTGATTATTCTCATACAATTGGAAGTATATGTTTGATTTTCTTCAAATTTTGACCATACCAAAATTTGTATCAGTATTAGATGGAGTGGAATACTTGGATCCGCTATACATGGTACCTCACGGATATTTTCGCATTTTACAAAAAAAAAATATATTAACTTTGTAACTCTTCGAAATAATCATGATAGACCCTACAAAGTACATATATTCGGGATCAACGTAAAATTCTAAGTCAATTTAGCGATGTCCGTCCGCTTGTCTGTTGTAATTTTGCACACATGTGTATTTTTCAAGTAAGCAGGTTAAGTTGGGCCATGTCGGTCCACGTCTTCATAGAGCCCCCATATAACGCTACCTCCCAATATTCGGTATTTTTATGATTTTAGAGACATTATAGACCGGCATTGTTTGAAGTTCTACGTCTTCGTATAGCCGCCTATAACGGTTTTCATTTAAACGCTATTTTTCGACGGATTTTTTTTTTTTTTTTACAGTTTTCAAGTTCTTTCCAAATGGCGGAGGGCCGGGCCGAACTTAGGAGCATTTTTATACCCTCCACCTTGAAAAGGAGGGTATATTAACTTTATCATTCCGTTTGTAACATCTTTAAATATTCGTCGTAGACCCCATAAAGCATATTTATTCGTGATCAGCATAAAATTCTAAGCCGATTTAACGTCTATCTGTCTGTCGATACATTATTAGACGTAGAGCTTCAAAATTTGGCCGAACAATTTGTATTGTGTCTAGGATGGTTGGTATTGAAAATGAGATATATCGGTACACGTTTTAGTATAGCCGCCATATAACGGTACCTCCCGATATTCAGTATTTTGATGATTTTTGCCATTTTTTTCCACGAATTTTTCCTAACAATTGGTATTTGTGAGCCATAATGGATTCTAGCTCCGGTGTGGAAACATTCTGTATATAGATCTACGTTTTGGTATATCCGCCATATAACAGTAAACTATAACAGTGGCTTCCGATATTCGGTATTTTTATGATTTTTGCCCCATTTTTCCACTGATTTGTCAAAAAGTCGTTATTTGTAGTTCATAATTGGTTCTAGCTCCGGTGGCTATACTTTGTATGTATAGGTCCACGTCTTCCTATAGCGTATAACGATACCCACCGATATTTATATTTACCTTTAAATTGGTTATTCTGCTCATACTACTTCCAAGAGTTTGCGGGGTATTCAGCCTAGCCTGGCTTTGGTTCAAAACTTACTATGGCACATGAGGTATACTCAAACGTTTGTTTTTGTTTATTTTGAGTTTGAAGCAAAATTTCATCCATGACATGTTTTTCTCCAACTCAAATGAATAGCAAAGCAAAAGTAAACCCATGTAATCATTGATGGCATTGGTTAATTGCTGTAGTAAATTAGGGAAGGCTATAATCATTATTGACCGAAGATCTCATGTGCATGATAAGCGACAACAAAATGCTTACAAAAACTTTAAGATACACAAAGGCTAAATGGAATGCAGCTTATTAACAAAGCCTTGTCAATTTAGGCAAAACTTAAACCATAAATAATGCGTGGATCCGTTTATTTGTTTACATATTTGTTTTAGATATTATGTTTTGATGTTATTGATTGATAAAATTGCCGAACGGGAGGTGTTTACAAACTATCTCTACTATCTCCAATTTATTATTTATGCTCTGAAATCAAAGGTTAGGTTTTGTAAATCAAGTTGGAAACATTCAGTCGGTATTCCTTTAATTTTACATTTTAAGAGTGTTATTGCCTAGCAAGTTCGAGACTTGGCATCAGCAAACGAAGAAAAACATAATAAAATACCATGTCTTCTTGGTGTAGATATATGACTTGAAACAATAGAATAGAACACTTTTGGAATATATTTGTCAAGGTCTATCGTTCCAGCGGGATATATATATTTTTGTTATTAGGAATTTGCAGTACAAAATTTAAATAATTTCAGTAAGGTTCATCCTCGAGCCCAACGAATGATTTGTGGAAAATTTAATCTCAATCAGACAATAAAAGCGACTTGTAGTCGCATTGAACAGACAGACGAACGAACATCCATAAATCGGCGATTCTATAATGGATCCTGATCATATGTCCTCACCACATACAAATATAAACGTGACAAAGTAAGCAATGAAAATAACAAGTGAAAACACATCCACAGGGTGAGATGAAAAACTGCAACCAACTTCAGACTGCTGTCATTTCTAAGTTTCTCGTCCGACAGCTGTTAAAATTATTTCACTGACAGCTCATTATATTGTTTACAAGCGTACAAAAGCATTTTGGTGAGAATTTTCCAGAAAAAAAGTTATTCGTGATGGCATTCAAGCGTGACAGTGTGATTACGACTTGATGGAAATCCGCGTCGCAGTGGCCGAAATATGGCTCGTGAGCTGAACATATCGCAAAATCCATTCGGCAAATATTGAAAAATGAACTCGGGGTAAAGCCATTGAAATTCCATAAAAGTGCAAGAACTTACACAGCAACAGAAAGAAAATATACTCAAAAGAACTAAAGAGTTGCTTCGCCTGGCCGAAAGTGGTGAACTGCCGAATTTGGTTTTATCCGATGAGAAAACATTCGTTGTCCTGCAGTTTGTAAAGAAACAAAATTATCGTGTTTACTTGCGAAAGAGGTCAACTGAAAATGTGCACCTTCGGTTGGCTCAAGCGACGGTCATGGTTATGGTGTGGGCCGCCATAACAGCCGATGGACGCTCTTGGCTCGTATTAATCGACCGTGGCATCAGAATAAATGCCGAAAATATTCTGGAGGGTGTATTAAAGCCTTGGGCACGCAAACATTCTGGCCGCAAATCTTGGACATTCCAACAGCACGCGCCACCCAAGAATGGTTACAAAATGAGGTTCCTCGCTTCATTTCCAACGCACCATGGCCACCAAATCTCCGGATACCAATCTGTTGGACTATTGTGTCTGGAGTATTTTGGAAAGCAAGTTTGACACTAAAACATACCAAAGTGTCGATCACCTCAAGCAAACGCTTCGCCGAGAATGGACCAAAATACCGCAGAGCAACATTCGGGCAGCGTGTGACGGTTCCATTGGCAGTTTGAAGGCCATAATTCGTGCCAAAGGTGACCAATTCGAACATATCTAAACTTATTCTAAAATTCGATGCTATTTCCGACATTTTTTGCTTTCCTTCAATAAAATTAAAAAAAAAAATGTAAAAGTTATGGCATTTGACTTTGTTGCCGTTTTTTATCTCACCCTGTAAGTTCTGCAGGACCGAGCTTTTGAACTTGAAAAATTTAAAAAAAAGAAAAATTCCGTAGAAAAATACCTCTCAAATGTAATTCTGTGTATGGGCTGTAGAACCCATAACGAACTTCAATTACGACATTTGAAACAATTCTGGTGAATCGTCAAAATACCGAAATAAAATCGACAAAGTATCGAACATAGGTATAGTTATAGGGGGCTATATGAAGACAAGGACGTAGACATAGGCTCGAGTACTTATTACGAACCTTAAACACGAAATTTGAAATAATTCCGTCAAAAAATATCGCTAAATATCAATATACCGAATATTGGGAGGTACCCTTATATGGGGCTATATAAAAACGTTGACCTATATGGCTCATTTACAAACTTAACCTACTGGCAAAATACACATGTGTGATAGCGTATACAGCCGGACAGACAGAAAGACACACAGAGGGATACACTGACAGACAGAGAGACAGACGGAAATCGCTAAATCGACTTATAATTATATGCTGATCAAGAATATGTATACTTTGTTGGTTCTGACATGAGTATTTCGAGGAGTTACAAACGGAATGACAAAGTTAATATACCCGTGGTTTAAACAATAGTTCCTAATAACTGCACTGCTAGGTTAAGCTTTAGGTATAGCTCAACTCAACTTTATGAGCTTTATTCGATACTTGTAGGCTTTAAACTATAAATTATAGCCGAAATTCCTAGCAAACACAATAAGTGCAGATCAACTATTCCGTATAGCATTATAACATTACTTATAACAAAACGTGTTGCTCTTTAAAGAGCACTTGATGAATTTTTACAGCACGCAACGTGAGAACTATGCTATGGAAAGCTTTGCTATATGTACATACAAGCACTTCGCAACAAATGTTGCGTATTTTAACAGGCTTATCGTTAATAGAACTCGACAAAATACCACCAGTATGTGCTTGTTGAACAAATTGCAAATTAAGTCGATGGGAAATTGCTCGCTGCAAACCACAAAAACAACAATTTAATTTTAAAATATGTATAGCTAACATCAACGGACACACTCACACACATACACACCATTCAATTTTCGTCTACTTTAAGAGAGTGTCATGCAATGGTTACCATGATCCATGCTAAGTAGAAAAGCTAATGTTAGCCACTGGAGAAATACAAAACATAAGCAACGAATTCGTCAAAGTATAGCAAACAGCTAGAAAAAAAAAACAAAAAAAAAGGAGAAGAAGAAGCATCAAGATTTGCTGTTATCGCCATTTCAACGGCTACTAAATTTTCAACGTGAAAATATCGCACATACGCTACGATGAGTCTCATTCGGAAGTGTAAATAACAAACGGCATTTAGCGGCCGCTAAGAACAGACGTTTCCTCGACTAGCTGCTCGGTGCATGAGAAAACGAACAAACTATTTAGAGCGGAAGATACAACCTAATAGGAAAACGCAAAAGAGAAAAATCGAACAACTAAATGTGTTGCATCATTGTGCATTCATATCGGCCATCCATTAAAAGGATTTTCTAAAGAGTTATTGTGAAACGTGTTTTCTAAACCAACAATAAGTTTTTCTCGATAAAGACTTCAATTCGTCGGAACTGTGCGCGTGTGTAACAAAAGAATTTCCTCCGTCGAGGAAAATCCCTGTTAGAGCTTCGTCTTTGTATTGTGCAAGTAACATATAAATCTCCATCATCGAAGACTGCCATCGTATCAGTGAAAATGCATTCGACTGTCACTAAGCAAACGGGCTTTGTTGCCCTAATGATTGTTCAAATCGTCTTTTTGGTTCTTTACTGGGTGTTCGTGCGTTATGGCAAGGAAGCATCACCAATCGATAAGAATCCACAAGACGCTGGATTAAATGAACAACACGAATCGAAATATCCTCGTGAGTACTGGTTCAAGTATTTTAAAGTGTACATCTCTAAATGTATATATATTTACAAGGTGCATGATGGTGTATAGGTATATGTACGTTTCTCAAGGGGGTTTAATACATCTCAGTTTGTGAATAAAAAACAAAAAAAGATAACTAATTAAAAACAGTAAATGAATAAAATGAAGTGTACTATAGTATTCAGTAAAATTTACTCATAATATTGGCTGTGCATAAGGTCTAATAACTGTGTTACAAAAGTTAACAGAGAAATTTATTTATTTATTTTTTGTTTGCAAAATGTGCAGGCTTTATCCCTTTATTGTTGTTTTTATAAAGTTTTTATTAGTGGAGAACGAGGGTAATGTTTACCAGGGGGTAAGGCAGGGAATACCTAGGTTTCGGAAAGAGCCACCAATCCTCATCAGTTTCCCTGTTTTTGTGTGGGATATTCTCCCCAGAAGTTATTTTAAAAATAACTTCTATAACAAAAAACATTTTTTTACCCAAGTGACGAGATCGTAAGCTCAATATAAGAGGAACCAAAGAATTAAATAAAACATAAACCAACAAAATACCATTTTGCAACAACAAAATACTATGGTATCCCGAACAAACAAGCCAACACTGTTCTAGAAATTTATTTGTATATATAAAACCCGTGAGATAAAGTCAATAGTCGGTCAGAGCCAACTATATGATACCCTACACCACTTAATGCAGTTCAACCTTTGGCTTTAGAGCAGTTATAATTTGGTTTCAGAGGGAACTAATATATAGGAATGGTTTTCACTAAATTTAACGGAGACATTTTTGTCTTTTATACCAGATAATATTGCTATAGAGTGCTTAACAACGTTTCGAAAAGGATTATACTAAAAAAATATATATAGGAGCCAGAGTTCCACCAAATGGAGACGGGCGTCCCGAAATTCACTCCATTTGGGCTGATATTAGCCATTTTTTGCACAATATTCTTGAAATCGGATTAAGGATATATGAGAGTTATATCCAAACCTGAAAAATTTGGCAGAGGTATTTTAGAGCTCTTGGTAGATTATCTGGTACCAAATATCGTTGTTGTCGAGTGCATATTACAAATGTGAGGGACTTAACCACCAATACCAATACCAACCAATATGCGAGCTATAGCTATATCTGAAGAGATTTTCATCATATTTGATGTACTTGCTTCTAGAATTTGGTCTGATGTGCCAAAATTCAAGTCATTTAGACTGATATTAGCCATTTTGTGCACTATTAATCTGAAATCGGTTGAAGATATATATGGGAGATATATCCAAATCTGAACTGATCTTGATAACATTTTGCAGATGTATTTCTGGCCTGTATCTTATATCGGGTACCAAATATCATATTACGAATGTGAAACATATATATGGGAGCTATAGCAATATCTAAACCATTTTTCACCAAATTTCCTGAAAATTGCTTCTAGACTGAATACCGTGGGATGTTCAAAAATTGTCATTTGGACTGGTATTGGCCATTTGATGCACAATTTACCAGAAATCGGTTAAAGATATATATGGGAGGTATATCTAAATTTGAACCGATTTTCGCCAATTTCAATAGAGTTCGTCCTTGGGCCAAACAAATATTGTTTGGAAAATTTCACTTCAATCGGATAATAAATGCGACCTGCATTTTTTTCCGAAATACATGGACAGACGAACAGACAGACGGAGTAACATGTATAATCGGCTCAGAGAGTGATTCTATGAAGATCCTCAAAAGTAACTTTGGGTCGTATAGCCACCATAAAACAATACCTTCCGATATTTGGTATTTTGATGATTTTAGTGACATTATACCATAAAACAATACCACCATAAAACAATACCTTCCGATATTTGGTATTTTGATGATTTTAGTGACATTATATACAGGAATTGCTTCGAATTTCGTATGGGAAGATTTTAATGGATTCTTTAATCTATGGCAGAAAATTTTCTATGCAGGTCCACGTTTTCGTATAACTGTCCGCATATAACGGTACCTGCGTTTTTCTGGATGGATACTAAATCCGATGTGTGAAGATCTTAATAGGTTCTTTGACTCTGATAAAAATTGTGTAAATATGTCTGCTATTGCCTAGAAAATGACCCAAAGTTTTTCTGTATTTTTTAGACTAGAGGGCGTTTATGAAATTTGGCGAAAACCATTCAGATATCAATTCATTCGATTTGAAATTTAAGCGCTTCGAAGCTCTAATATTTCGACGACGTCGGTTCAGATTTAATTTTTTTAGCTTTTGGTGCGCACCATCACTCTCGAAGGGAGTATCAGATTTGGTCCAAACTTGGTACATCGTAATATTATTGTCAAACGTAGATTGAGTTCGGAGATGGGCAATATGGGTTCACTCCTTCTGGTACCTATCACACAAAAAGTTGAAATTTTCAAAAAAAAAAAAAAAAAAACTACACAGAAGGAGAAAGGATAATCCTGTCTTGCTCCAACTTTGAAAATCCTATTATTTGCATCAGTGCTATTTCAGTGAGAAATTAACATCCGATTCCATTCAGACTTGGCACATCTAAATATTTTCATCAACACACGATCATTTATATATGAGGTAGAGATCTGACCATTTCTTCTGGTACCTCCCCCACGTAGGGTTCAAGATTTCACACATACAAACTCAAATTTCACACGTACAAACATTTTTGCTACCACAAGATGTGTTGGAAATATATCTGCAAACCCCGTCTTGTATCTCACTCACAAAGGTCACAATTTTCAATACTTTTATCTGTCATAACTTGCGAAACAAGTCAGCGGTTCTTTACAACTTGCTATATCTAAATATAAAGTAATTTAAATCTATCTAAATATTTCTCTCAACCAAAAACCTGGGATGATCATGGAATTTATGATTTCGAGGAAAATTCGATGTAAATGTTCGTTTTTCTTATTGTTTTGCCCACACTGATATGTATTAGATGAATGAAAATGGAATACTTCGGTCGACCATATCTGATACCCTACTCACATTTCAAACATTTCCTAAAAATTATCACATATCTCATATAAAGTGATAGTCACCAATATTGTCCAAACCTGGCACGTTGGGTCAACAATTTGAATAATCATAACAGAAGTCAATATATATATTTAAATATTCGAACATTGACTGAGGGTATACATCTGTCGGCAAAATCGACTTATACTCTATAACGTGTTTTTTTACTCAAAGAGTTTTTTTATCGCAAATCATTAAGTTCGAGAAAACCGTAATTTAAGCCGAACTATATAAACCCTCCACCATTTGAAAGGAATTTTCAAATTTTCAAAAATAAAAAAAAACTGTTGAAAATACTACTAAAGTCATAAAAATATAGAATATGGACTGTTACCGTCATATTGGAGCTATACAAAGACCTGTTTTCGGCAATTTTTGTCATGGGCCCATTAGGAGCTTCAAATTGCAGAATTGGCACAAATCATCGAAATACCGAATATTTGAAGGTACAGTTATATGGGAACTATATCAAAACCTACTTTGAGTTCTATGCAAGAGTTTTTCTTACAAATTAATTAAATTAATTGTTGCCAATTTAATTTAGGTAAAAATTGTAACCAAAGCAACCAAAAAACCTTAAATTTTTTGGTACAGTTATATGGAGGTTATACCAAAACGTGGGCCTATATAGCCCATTTTAAATACTATATGGAAATCAATTTTGTCACTGTGTTCGATTCTTATGAAATATCGGCCATCCCTAACAAAAGAGAGGCTTTAACGATTAAAGTAAATCATGACATTCAAAAATGCAAGATATAAAAACAATTAATATAATTTGAAAACTTTTCAGGAAAACTGAAAGTCATGAATGAAAAGTATAATGTTGAAAGTTGGCGTATGTACATTCAAACGAAAAAACATTTTGTTACTCTCTCATATAACTCATTCTTTTTGTCCACGAGTTGAAATTTCCGCAGAAACCAGGAAACAAAAAAAGGCATTAAGATGTGAACTTGTGTTTCGACGAAAACAATGTTGACAAGTGTCTCTACGGTTGAATTTTATACTTTATATATAAAAAAATAAACATAATCAAAAAGTTTATAATTAATCATAAAATATATCTTTGAAAAAAAAAAATACATTTATATTCTCTTTTCATATTAGGCATATTTTATGTATTTTCGTTCACATTCCAATAAAAATCAAGGAACAAAAAAGGAATCACATTACAATGAATTTCGAATCATGCGGTGTGAACGCGTAATTTTGTTTGCGTCCATCCTAGTTCAAATTTCAATGAAAACATGGTATAAGATTCGTTAAAAAAATATGCTTCTACGTTTGTATAAAATATTGTTACCTCTTAATTTAAATGCCGTTGAAACAAAAACACAATAAGGAAAACCTCTCATAGAAATACGCAATGCAACTGCTCCTATGGAAATTATAGTCAATTGAATACTGACTATTTAATTGCATATTCCATCAAATATTTTCAGGGATGCAATTAATTCAATTGCAGTTTGTTTAGTTCCCCATATGACTTGGAAAATAAAAAGACAGCAAGGAAAAGTCAAAAGTCGGGCGGGACCGACTATATGATACCCTACACCACTATGCATATGTTGTGTAGATCCCGTTACAAAAGAATTTATTTGACGTGGATCATACCAACTTTCAAGATTTGGCTTTAGACCAGTTATAATTTGGTTTCAAAGCGAACTAATATACGGCAGGGATATCCAATTCTTAATCGATTTTCACTATATATATGGGAGCTATACCCAAATCTTATCCGATCTCAATAAAATGTGGCTCTATAAGATATCTGGTACCAAATATCATTGTTATCAAATGCATATTACAAATGTGAGGGCCTTAAACACCAAATCGGATGAAACATATATATATGACAGTTATAGCTATATCTGAACCGATTTTCTCCAAATCTGAAGTACTTGTTTCTAGGCTGAATACATTTGGTGCACAATTATCCGAAATCGATTGAAGGTATATATTT